GAGAGAGAGAGAGAGAGAGAGAGAGAGAGAGATCCACTTAATTCATGGTAAATAAAACAAATGTCAAGTTCTATTTTCATTTCATTAAGATAACACATATTTTAGCTTTAATTGATAAAACACTTAAGTACTGAATTTGTATAAGATCAAGGTAACCAAGAATTGGTAAATTTGCTAACAATTATTATAATTTAATTACAAGCGACTAATGAAAGTGATTTAATTAGTTCAAACTTAATTAAAAATAATTGTCATAAATACAAAAGTACATAAATAAACTTGATTTGCACATGTTGCTAAACACTGGTCACTTAAACAAATATCATTCTATATAACAAATACCAGGGTAGAATTCTGATAAAACTTATCTCAATTACTTTATTATTACCTTAATAAGTTAATATAAAAAATAATAGTACTAGCAACCCATATCATAACTATATAAACAAGTTTAATTTTAAAGCCAACAGCACAGTATAATAATTAGTTCACTGGATCTAGGTTTTTTAACATAATAACAAACTATTATAGTTAGTAAACCAGAACAAAAACAACTATGAACTATTTATTACAGTTGGTCGCGCTACTGGCATTGACCACCAGCGTATGGTCGGCGTGCGAACTTAAATGGGTTAAAACTGACCACAAAAACCTGCCGCCGGACTCAGTGCTGGTCATAGCCAACAATCCTGCCGGTGATTTCTACGTGAGTCGAGCCGTATATAACGGTGTACTGACGCCCGGCCGATACAAACCCGCCGAAGAGACCTGTTTTGTCACAATGGATGGCCACGAGTACGGCCTAAGAGAGAACTTTGAGGTCCTCACCAATCCTAACAAGTGCTTTTTGGACTGGAAAAAAGCCCATGATGGTACTGTGCCTAAGGGCGCTGTAGAGTCCGGTAAAGACCCACAGGGTGTAAGTGTGCTCTAGTTCATGAACAATGTGCTATTTAGTATAATTTAATACTTTAATAATTTACTTGCTAGCTAAATAATTTAATTTAAAACTATATTAAAAAAAGTTCCATTTAAAATTAGTTTAATTCTCAACCAACTAAAAAGTTTAATTAATAAAATTAATATTACTGATTTTGACAAATATATTATAATATTGCAGGGTGTGGCGTACAGCGCACGTTTGCACGAGTGGTTCGGCTGGATGGTGGGCAAAATGTACAAGAGCACTAATAAAATGTACTACGGGTGGGGTGGGGGCGAAAACGTCAAGACCGAGTACGAAATACTAGTACTGCTAGACCAGGCGCCAGACCACACACTGCACCCCAGTTGCGCAAACCATAAACAATTTGACCATGATAGTATCGTATGCGTGTGCACCGATAGTAAACCATGCGATAGCCTACAGGGGCCGACAAAAACCGGTGCCCAGGTGCTAACCAAATGGGAGTCAACCGCGCAGGGTAATAGGTTTGTTAGGAGCGAGCTCAAATTGGCCGATAAAGGCCAGCACGTGGACGTGGATCACGTGGGCTCCCAGTTGTGGGTCAAACTCAATAGGGATGTGAAGCACCAGCAGATTGTAGGGTTTGGCGGCGCCTTCACTGACGCCACGGGTATTAACTATAAGAAAATGGGCGCCAAATACGAGGATCAGTTGATTCGCGAGTGTTATGGCAAAGAGGGTCTGGAGTACAATATGGGACGCATACCCATCGGTGGCTCAGACTTTTCCACCCGTGCCTATAGTTTAGATGATAGCACACCCGATGACGTGCCGCTCAGTAAATTCAATCTCACGTCAGAGGACCTGGAGCTTAAGGTATGCATCATGATAGTTTTTAGTTATAATTATTATTATTATTATTGCTTATATTAATAAATTGTAATTATTACTTTATCACATTTATTAAATAGATCCCAATCATCCTGAAAGCAAAAGCCATGGCCACCAGTGATCTGAAGCTGTTTGGCTCACCATGGTCGGCGCCTGCCTGGATGAAAAACAACCACCAACTAATTGGCGGTGGTGATTTGGAAGCCAAGTACCTTGATTGTTACGCCAAGTACTTTGTTAAGTAAGTAAAATGATTTAAATATTTCTAAATATTTAAATTAAACACTATGCTAATAAACAAAATATATAACCTTCATGTTTTTAAAGGTACCTTGATGCGTACAAAGCCCACGGTCTGAACCACTGGGGCATAACTGTGCAAAACGAACCCATGGCTGGCCAGGCGTGGAACTCTATGCACTTCTCGCCCGAGTCTATGGCCGAGTTTGTGGGCAAACATTTGGGCCCGGAGTTGGCCCGCAGTGGTTACGGTGTGGACAAATTGCAAGTAATGCAACTTGATCACAACGTGGGCATTGTCAAGGAGTGGGTGGACAAGTACTTTGCCGACCCCGTGGCCTCCAAGTACACACAGGGAACCGCCATTCACTGGTACGGACACGACCCGAAGGAACAGTTGGACGCACCCCATAACCAACACCCGGACAAATGGATGTTAGCCACCGAGGCATGTGTGGAAGGCGGCGTTAAGCTAGGTGATTGGAATACGGCTGATCTGTATGCATCAGATATTTTGGGGGTAACTAAAATTGTACAATCGTAAATGATCTATATTTATTGATTTTTTTTATAAACCAACCTATGATCTTTTTGTTTTTTGAAAAATCTCAATTAATTCATTCATTTATTAATTTATTTCACAATGTATCTAGGATCTCTTACACCACGTGATCGGTTGGGTGGACTGGAACATGGCGTTGGACACTCAGGGAGGGCCCAATTGGTGCAAGAACTGGGTCGATGCCCCGTTGATAATTAACCCCGATCTGAAAGAGTACTACCGTCAGCCCTCGTTCTACGCGATGGCCCACTTCAGCAAATTCCTGGCCCCGGGCTCTGTCCGAGTGGACACACCTGTAGTCAACCAGAATAACAATCACGGATTGGTCGGCGGTTTCCGCAGACCCGACGGCTCGACAGTCATTATTGCGGTCAATACGGAAGAGATTGAGATTGATTTGATAGTAGAGGACGATAAGGCTGCCGGTAAATTGATCCAGAAGATTGCACCTAGATCAGTACAGACCTATGTCTATTATGATTAAATAATGTGCGATTGATTAATGTATTAAATATGCATTTTAATTTTTTTATCAAGTTTGTCAAAACTGCATATGTGTAATTAAATTGTAATAAATAAATGTTTATACAACTTTATCTACTGTATTATGTAACTTATAATGATTGTGTTTATATATTATAGTTATTAAACTCTTGATCATTTGCTGTGTTAAAAAATTTAATTTATACATTTACAATAACTGTAACAAAATGATATTTTGTATGACCAAGTGAACATGTTTTTACATTGAAGTGCATATAAACTAAACTATTGAAAACTAAAAGTGTTTGTATAGTAAATATTTAAGATAATAACAACGGACCACTTAATTGCACTTAAGATTGTTTTATGATAGGGAAAAATGTTAAGTTTTGTATATATTAAAAATATTTATAAATAATTTACTTATTTATTAGCAATATTATATTAAATTGATTATGTAAACAGGCATATTAATTAATTTAAATTTATAATAATTACAATTTAATAGATTATTTAAATTGAAATTTGGTTATATAATTATATATTAAATTATATGATTATTATTTTTTTAAACAACGTCAAACCGTATGCTACCTGTGTATTAAAACCACCTGTATATACCCAACTCATATCATTAATAAACACATTGTTAAGGTAAAGGTTTACATACATAAAAACACAAAAAAGTAATATTCAAGGACAATTGAAAGTGATAACTCAATATCTCAATTACCTAAATCCTTTAAAAACTATAATATCCTTTATATTATTTAAGTAAAAGTCAAATTGATAAAAAATAATCTAAATTATAAATATCAGCTACATTTATTTGAAAAACAATACACTTCATATTTAGTTCAGTAGATCTAGGTTTATTTGCTAAATTAATATAATTAATATAGTTAGAAACCAGCAAAACAAAAAAAAATTACCATGAACTATTTTCTGGCCGTAACGCTCGTTATATCTGCGTTAGCTATTAACGTGCACGGGCTAAAACCAAGTTGCGCCAACCATAAACAATTTGGCCACGATAGTATCGTGTGCGTTTGTAGCGATGCCAAACCGTGCGACAACCTACAGGGGCCGACAAAAACGGCACCCGGCGTACTGACCCGGTGGGAGTCAACCGCTGAGGGTAATCGATTTATACGGACCGAGCTCAAATTGGCCCCAAAGGACCATCATGTTGACCTGGATCAAAATGCGGCCCAATTGCACGTAAAACTAAATAGGGATGTAAAGCATCAGCAAATCATTGGCTTTGGCGGCGCTTTCACCGACTCTACGGGTATTAACATTAAGAAAATGGGCGCTAAATCTGAGGATCACTTGATTGCCGACTGTTTCGGCAAAGAGGGTCTGGAGTACAATATGGGACGCATACCCATCGGTGGCTCAGACTTTTCCACCCGTGCCTATAGTCTCGATGATAATACTAATGATGATAAACCACTCACTAAATTCAATTTGACCCAGGAGGACTTGGATCTTAAGGTGTGTATATATTGAGCTTGATGTAACTAAAAATATTTTTTGTATAATATGTTTTGAACTACAATGAAATAATTGTATTGAACATTCAGTCTGACGTATTTTACTATAGTTTTACATTGATTAAATATCTATTACAATAGATCCCGATCATTCAAAAAGCTAAAAAAATTGCAACACATGATATCCGTTTGTTTGGCAGCCCCTGGTCTGCGCCAAAGTGGATGAAGAATAACAACGAGCTGATTCATGGCGGAGACCTTAAGAGCCAATACCTCGATGTTTATGCCAAATATTTTGTCAAGTAAAAATTGAAATACTAGCTTTTTATTTAACATGCTAAATCAATTTACTGTACAGTAGATTACAGTATTTTATAATAGGTTTAATTTAATCTTGTAATTATTAGTATCTATTGTAATTATTGAACAAATAATTTATTACAGATATCTAGATGCGTACAAAGCGCATGGTTTAAACCACTGGGGCATAACTGTGCAAAATGAACCATGGGCCTCTCAGCGCTGGAACTCAATGCACTTCGACCCGAAGTCAATGGCTTCGTTTGTGGCCAATCATTTGGGCCCGGAGTTGGCCCGCAGTGGTTACGGTGTGGACAAATTGCAAGTAATGCAACTTGATCATAACGTGGGCATTGTCAAACAGTGGGTGAACGAGTACTTTGCCGACCCCGTGGCCTCCAAGTACACGGCGGGCACAGCTGTCCACTGGTACGGTCACGACCCTAAGAACCAGTTGGACGCACCCCATAACCAACACCCGGACAAATGGATGTTAGCCACTGAGGCCTGCGTGGAGGGCGGCGTTAAGCTAGGTGATTGGAATACGGCTAACCTTTATGCTACCGATATTTTGGGTGTAAGTACTTAAAATTTTTATATCAAGTAATATAATAAGGTAACTTTGTGTTGACTAAAATAAACATAAGTAGCAAAATATTTAGGTGAACTTACCAGATACCAAGTGAAAGTAGTTATAAATACTAATACAAATAGTCAACATTTATAATAATTAATATAAATCTAACCCTTTAGCGATTTATCATTTACAATAATCTAGGATCTGTTGCATCACGTGATCGGTTGGGTGGACTGGAACATGGTGTTGGACACCCAGGGAGGGCCTAACTGGACAAACAACTTTGTGGACGCGCCACTTATTATTAACCCCCAACTCAAGGAGTATTACCGTCAGCCCTCGTACTACGCGATGGCCCATTTCAGCAAATTCCTGGCCCCGGGCTCTGTCCGAGTGGACACACCTATAGTCACTCAGAGTAACAATAAGGCACTGGTCGGCGGTTTCCGGCGCTCAGACGGCTCGACAGTTGTTATTGCGGTCAATACGGAAAATATTAAGATTGATTTTACTGTCGAGGATATTAAGGCTGCCGGCAAACTGGTCCAGAAAATTGCACCTAGATCAGTTCAGACTTATGTTTATTATGATTAGGTTGTATTGATTGTTAAAGTTGTTGATTTGGTAATTGTTTTATTAAACTTGTTTGTTTTGTAAAATAAATTATAACGGGTGCATTGAGAAACTGACGGAACAATTAAGACGTAATTTATTGATCAAATTTAACCGAATTTTTTTAATTGTTGGTTTGCTATGAAACAGTGTTTATTGACCAACAAATCAATGTCATTCATTTGTCTGCACCTCTTTTGCTTCCGGAGTAATCCTCTCCCGAAGAGGTCGAGTCCCGAAATCGGTTTGGCACAATGACCATGGCACTTATAGAATTCGAGATAATAAGATGCGCCAAAGTTATTTGTTACAAAGATTGAATAAAGAAAATAACATTTGGCTATAAATTTTAACATTTGATCCAGCCAATTAAATTATTTGGTCACTTTTAGTTGTAAAAAATATTGATTCCCATTGGATAGCATTGCCAAAGCTATTCGGGAGGTCGACCTCTTCGGGAGAGTATTACTCCGGAAGCAGAAGAGGTACAGACAAATGAATGACATTGATTTGTTGGTCAATAAACACTGTTTCATAACAAACCAACAATTAAAAAAATTCGGTTAAATTTGATCAATAAATTACGTCTTAATTGTTCCGTCAGTTTCTCAATGCACCCGTTAATATGTTTAATTTTAATTATTGTATAAAGTTTCCATTTGAAATTTGGTAAATTAGTTTGGGAAGGGTTTTTATAAGAAGTAATCAATATATGTAAGAGAAATTTTGTCGGATGAATGACTATTTATCTGGGTTTAATTTTATGTAATAATATAATTTTTATGTCTATTGGTTGAGAAGTAGTGGACATCTAAAGATAGTAAAGTCTAAATTTCCTTTGGCAAAATTAGCATTTCAAAAATTAACTCAATTTGGTTTGCAATTTGGTCTCTCTCTCTCTCTCTCTCTCTCTCTTTCTTTCTTTCTTTCTAACTATTTATTGATAAAAGTAAAATAAATAAACAGCTTGTTATTCTGATCAATATACTGTAATATAATTAATAATAATAATGCATATAATAATGCGAAGTAATATAATAATTAATATAATTAAATTATTTGCATAAAAACAAATAATAATTACAAAAGTAAATGAATTTAGTAATTTTATTACTTTATTTTTTTAGTATTTTTAATTTTATAAACACGGTTTTATAGTATTTTTTTTACAAATTTCAATAAAGCATTCAGGTTTTGTACATAATGTCAGATAGCACAACATTTGGTTTATATATTGCTTAATTAATAATACAATTTACTCGTAATAATCATTAAATCAATTATTTTATTTATTAGCGCGAGATAGTTATGTATTATTAAAAAATACAAAAATACTTTAGTTTTCATATCATTTCAATTAAACGTTTTTTAGTCAATTGTTTCTCAGATCTGAAGTAATAAAGTGTTTTGAAAAACATTTATTATCACAAAAAATGAGAACAATTTTGGCCATAATTTGTATGATATCTGCCATTGAATGCCAATCAATGTGTGAATTGATTGCAACGAATGGCACATATAATGGCATAAAAATGTACAGACAATGGATAGTAAGCCCACGTTTGATAATTTTTTAAAAATACAAAAAATACTTAAGTTTTTATATCATTTCAATTAAACGATTTTCAGTCAATTGTTTTTCATTCAGATCTAAAGTAATAGTATTTTGAATAACATTTATTATCCAAAAAAATGAAAACAATTTTGGCCATAATTTGTATGATATCTGCCATTGAATGCCAATCAATGTGTGAATTGATTGCAACGAATGGCACATATAATGGCATAAAAATGTACAGACAATGGAGAATTAGCCCACGTTTGCAATCAAGCCTTAAGATGTACTCTAAGGACAAGATGTGGACATTTAGTATAGAAAAGGCTAAAAATCAAACCCTCTTTGTATCGACTATTGGATCCACTAATGAAACGATTAGCGATTTAACTATCACTAGATTTTCAGCCGTTTATGGTCTAAAACTGATTGCTTATGACTGGGCTGTAGATTGTGTTGTGTCTTATAAGGTGAGAGAGAGAGAGAGAGAGAGAGAGAGAGAGAGACTGCGAGAGAAAGGGATAATCAGAGGCATAAGCTCTTGAAATCAAGCGATAACTGGCCGGTCGTCAGAGAGATGTATTGCATTGAACCAATTTAAATGTGTATAAAGAGTAAATTTTCTTGAGTTAAGTGAGAGAGAGAGAGAGAGAGAGAAATCTAATTCAATTGTAATCATAGGTTATACGAAAGACTGGCCATAACATAACATGTACTCATACTTGGGATAAAGATCAAAGACCTAAATCAGATTATGCAACATATTATTGGTATGATTTCGAGTATCATTTGAGCCCCGATGTGATCCCATTCAGTCCAGTGGTGACCACCGGCACCCGTCGGCACATATATAACACACATCTTAGTCACCATATAATGGACACGAGTTATGTGTCAAAACTGATCACAAAATCAAAGCCATTGCTTCCTTTTAATCGTGGTGTAAGTCTTAAATATAATACGGATACCCATTGTCCTGAACGGAAAAAATACCAGTTTCAATGTCAGACACCGGTGTTTGTCAACCAAATACCACGCGATTTGAGGCAACAGTTGGAGGGTATTGTCGACTACTATGTGGACAGTCAGACATCGGGTCATATGCTGTGGTTTAACATCAATGGACGGCCGATGTATTGCTTTACACCGGAAAACCAATCCCTGTCCGCACAGGTAATCTTTATATAACAATATTCGTAGTAAATGTTTAAAACAAAATATTGTTTTTTATTATTTTTCAGTGCAATTCGTCGGATAATATGATTCCGTATTCACAGCACTGTTTCCCTAAAGTGGTCGTAACCAAAGTCCGTTTCATTGATTCCGACGATTCTGTGACTGTATTATGGATTTTGTTTGCAATTCTGTTCATAATTGCTGTCATTGTCTTCGTATCAGTTGTGGTGATGATTAGGCGAAGAAGACGAAGACAATTGGCAACTTCCGAGTTGGTAAAGTCCTCGTCGACTAATTTAAATATTGCCAGCGATTTGTCGTCACTAATCAGAAACACAAACTTAAAACCTAAACCCAAGTCCAAAAAACCATAGATTTTATATGTTATTATATTTTCCATTATTTCAAAATTATTTAAAAATTTGCATTTTATTTGGAAAAATATTTGTAATGTATTTAAACATTTTTAATTAGTTCTTTTTATTATCAAATTATTTTTGAATTTATTGATAAAATTGTTTTATTTCACAATTCAAAAGAAAAGCAATTTTAAACAATATATTTTTTATTGAATTTATTTTATAATAAAAATTATATTTGTATTTTGAGTTCATGTGTAATCTATTAATCACACAATAGATTAAATTAAAATTAAATTAAATGCTTTAATAATTTAATAACGATTCTGTGACCAAAGTATTCATTATGTTTGCAATTCTGTTCATAATTGCTGTCATTGTTTTCGTATCAGTTCTGGTGATGTTATACCGGAGAAGAAGACAATTGTTTACAGACTCGGGAACTATTTTAAACACTGACAACAATTTGTCTTCATAACCAAAATTAAAGTACCAAATGATCGCTAGATATACAGTCGATTTCATAATACCTTTTGGGTGTTATTTAATGTTTACGAGTAAACTAGGTTCAATTTTAAAAATCGAACTCGGTACGATTGTGGGTATTTATGGGAAGAAAAAGTTAGCTATTTTAAAATTTTTGATTAACTTCTCAATTTTTGTTAAATGATGAATAATTGTTGCTCAAAAACTACTCGGTCGATTTTTGCGTACTATATCTCTAAATGTACATAATGTAAAATAAGTCGACACCTGTATCAGGATTTTTCATATAATTTATGTAATATTAAAATCTGAGCGTTAGTGCCCAAAATTTCAAATTTCACATATTTGCCATTTTAATAAACATTGTCAATTTTAGCAATCAGTATACCAAAATGTTAAGAATCTTGTCTAGAAAAAAAGTGAATTTCAGATTTGCATTATTTTAATGTTAAGTCTACTTTTTTTCTAAATATTAGAACGTTAAGATTGATTTAGTACTTTTTGCAAACAATTATTCATCATTCAAAAAAAATTGAGAAGTTAATCAAAAAATTTAAAATAGCCAACTTTTTCTTCCCATAAATACCCACAATCGTACCGAGTTCGATTTTTAAAATTAGACCTAGTTTACTCGTAAACATTAAATAACACGCAAAGGGCAATGTGAAAACGACTGTATAATATAATATGTCGTCGTCCCATAGGATTAACATGGAGAAAAACTACCTTTTCCCTTCATATTTCGCTTTTCCATAGGAAATAGTTCTCCCATAGGATTAACATTACCCATAGGATAACATTAGCCCATGTTAAGTCTATGGAAAAAGCTCCATAGGATTAGCATTACCCATGTTAAGTCTATGTCATA